TCCCTAGCGTTTCGTAATTTCGAGCTTGGGCTACCTGTGGTGAAACCAACAATCGTGCATTTCTTTGGCCACCTTGTACGCGTGCTTGTGATTTAGTAGATACGGTGAATAATGGTAATCAAGTTTATTCCTTCGTACTAGATTTTTCTAAGGCATTTGATCGAGTATCACACCAAAGCTTACTCTATAAGCTAAGCCATTATGGTATAAATGGTAGAACGGTGTCCTGGATTGGGATGTTTCTGACCCAGAGAAAACAGAAACTATCCTTGGAGGAAGTTGCATCTAATCGGTGTGATGTAGTGTCCGGTGTCCCACAAGGTACTGTACTGTGACCGCTGCTTTTCCTGATCATACATTAATGGCTTTTCTTCATGCATTTCCTCTACTGACAATAGGGTTATTTGCGGACGATTGTTCCGTGTATCATGCTATAACTGGTCGTATGGAGAACCAAATCCTTCGGGATGACTACAAAAAAAACTAAAATGCTCTATCCAAGTGGGAAAGGGACTGGCAAATGTCATTTAACATAGAAAAATGCCAAACAATCTGCTTCTCTACAAAAAAGAATGTAGGACCATATATTCTTAATGGTCATACATTGGATGGGGACCACCAACATTCATATTTAGGCTTGAAATGGGCAAGTCATGTTGCGCCAGTTTTCTCAAGTGCTAAGCAGATCTTGGCGTTATCAGGAGGAATTTTAGACATACAGTCGCTTCCCGGTAACTCGAACCCTCTATAACTCGAACCTCCCGCTAACTCGAAGCAATTTTCAGTTCCCTTAAGATCTTTTGCTTTATAATGTTACCCTCGATAACTCGAACCTTTTTCTATTTCCCTTGAAGGTTCGAATTATCGGGATTCGACTGCATGTACCTCCATACAATGTACATCTAAACTTCACTGTAGCGCAGTAAGACCTATACTAGGATCGGGGGGGGGGGGAATTAACAAACTTTTACGCGGGGAGGCTCCGCCCCGAGTTGCAACCCCTTACCCTTTTATAGACAATTTTTCACGAAATAGGTACCCCTTTCACATACCTCCTTAGAATCCCTTTTAACTGCTCTAAAATTTATCTGTTAGCCCTTTGAGCCCTTTCACAGACCCAAATGACAGATTTCCCTACCCTTTCGTATACTTCAAAGAGTAAAATCCCCACCCTTTCATATACCTGAAGTCTGAAAAAGGTATCCCTTTCGGGCGGAGCCTTCCCGTATAGGCCAGGAAGTACCCCCCCAAGACTAGAATGTGCTAGTTCCGTATGGTATCCTTATCTTCGGAAAGTCCAACGTTCTGCTCCTAGATGCTATGCATCTTTGATAATTACTCAAGACAGCCCGGTATTGTAATCAACATGCTGGAGAACCTTGAATGGCCATCTCTTGAAGGTAAACGGAAGCTCTATCGATTGACTATATTTCATCATATTGTCAACAGAAAGTTTACACTGAGAGACATAACTCTATGTTGTTTCTGAGACCTCACTCCATTTGTAACCAGCATGCAAATAGTTTCTTCCAATGGTCTTGTAGTGAATATTAAGAGTAATGACATTTGAGACCGCCTTTCGCGACTATCTTATTAAGCAATAGCCTGCGGCGATGAGCGAGGAGAAACGTCTATCGTTCGCAGGCTAATTAAGCAAGGAGGACAAGGAAGTGGTTTTAATTTTTAATAATAATGTTTTTTATAGAATTTATTACAATGTTATTTTGAGTGAAACTGATGCGATGCAGTGATTCTGTTTTATCAGTCAATATAAAGTCGATGTTAGCCTGTTCCAGGCTCCGAGATAGTGGTGAAAAGTCGTTCAGTAAAAAGAAATTTGCTCGTTTTAATACGTCCGCACCATACTATCTAGGAGCCTGGCACAGGCTAAGTCGATGTAGAAATAGAGTTAGCCGTGGCGGATCCAGGGGAGCGGAGCCCGGGGGCGCGGTCCCCCCTTAATTTTTAGGCCAAACTGAGGCCCGAGGGGCCGAAAAAAATTTTTTTTGGAGACCGGGCCACCCCTTATCTAAGGGTCTGGATCACTGGGCCCCCACCTTATCTCAAGGTCTGGATCCGGAGCTGGTTAGAAAGCTCAAACACAGTAAAATCTTTATTAAAAGAGATCTGAAGAGGTGAGATTCCTTACCTCCATTTTATAGCCAATTCCATACCAGGAGGAGCAAAAATATGGTCCGACGCGTAGGAGAGAAAGGGAGATCTGGAGTTTCAAGAAAGTGAAATTGTATGATGCAGAGGCCGCTTTTTCCCGGTATTCGTAGAGGGATCTCTTTTACCTTCCCCTCCCTCTTTAGTTTTTTTTCCGGCACCCCACATCCCATAACCCTGTGCGTGCATTCAAGCGTCTCCTACACGTGCAGTCACGATCAGTTTGAAAGGAAGACGAGTTGTTGATTTTTTGTCCTCAGTGAAGCTCAGTTGTGCCGAGAGGACCTAAAACCGATAGAATAAGATGGTAAGGGAATAACTTGGTTGTTTTTTAGCGTATCTTTCGAAAGTAAAGTCGAATACAGTCATACCATCACCGAGACTTCGTTTATGAACATGGACGAAAAAAGCAACAAAAAAACTGAGGGCGTACTAGAGACTATTGTGTTAGTTATATGTTTCTTGTTGTCCTCGAAATCTTTCTGAATTGTTCTATCAATAGTGAGTTTAAGCCTACACTTAGATTACTTGCGTTACGTGTTGTAACATCGAAGGTGTTATTGTAATCAAAGGTGGATGTTGAATCCAAACACTCCGATCACTTTGTGGATCAATTAAGACCTCAATTAAGCTTAATAAAATCCAGATTTTTAAGGTTTGTGATCCGTGTTGATCCCAAAAAGCAAAGTTAAAAAGCATTCTGTTGTAATGCTGTTGTTGCAGAGAATCCACTTTACAAAGAATCCGAGTAACATTATATTCTCTCAAAGAAATGTATTAAGAATCCTATACTCATTGTTAAAAGCTAAAACTATTGTAGCATCTCTGTTGCCTAGGCTGTGACTGACCTACAAGTTCAAGTGGCTATGAAAGCAAGCCATGTGAGTGGCGAAGGTCTTTGTGCGCACTTACTTCTGCTACTCCTACAAATGCTGCTCACACGTGACTTCTTACAATATCCCCCAAATGGAGACCTGTACATCAAAACAAATTTACGCTCTTTTGACTTTTTCTGTTTTTTATATATTTTAGGCAAGTGACGATGTGAACCCAAAGGCCTTTCCGCTGGCAGATCCACAGTTAACAGTGACAATTCTTGACCTGATTCAACAAGCAACAAATTACAAGCAGCTTAGAAAAGGGGCTAATGAAGCTACTAAATGCCTGAACCGTGGCGTTGCAGAATTTATTGTTATGGCAGCAGATACAGAACCACTAGAAATTCTACTGCACCTTCCTCTACTGTGTGAAGACAAAGTGAGAGCAATATTTGTTAGTTTTATAATCCCAATGATAAAGGTGGAGATTTTCCAATGACACCTAAAAATTATTTACGTTTTTAAAGTAGAGGCAATGGATGGATGGTTGCACGTAAAAAGTGAACCTTGCTCAACTTTAACATTTACACATGACATTTCATACATTGCCTCTATTTTCTTTACCTTTAAAAATTTATGTGAGTTATATGCACATAAAAATTGTGACAGGAGAAATCCACGCTAATAGTTGTAAAAGCATGTTCTGTATACAAAATTCAGAAGATTTTGACTGTAAGGTAGTAAGTTTAACTTTGGTTCAGGTAAATTGCTGAGCCTACATTGGTTTCGTTGATTACGAGTGGTTACATTGACGAGGGTAGAGAGATATCAAACACCGGGCCTACAATGCTCTTCTCTCACTAAAAACCAGACAAACGAAGGCTGAGTAGTGATGAAGCTGAAGTACTTTGATTACTTAGTTATTACCAGTAACAATATCCATACATTGTCAAGAGATAAAGCAATGAGAATTCATAAAACGATCACCAAAAAGAAAGTGCTGTGATTGTTCATAAAATTCTTGCAACTAATTCTGTAAGGAAATGTATGGAGATTAGTTTGGAGAATTTGTATGTGGATATTGGGGTTTAGAGGGTTTAATTAGAACTACCAGTGGTGGAGGTTGGATGGGAACCTGTGTGACTATAAGTCTTCCCGTAGTATATTAACTGTAGTGTATGTTAATGAACACAACCAAATAGCCTTCTTTCTTTCTTTCTTTCTTTTAGAATGTACCATATGTATTTGTTCGTTCCAAGCAGGCTCTTGGCCGAGCATGTGGTGTGTCTCGCCCTGTTATTGCCACAGCTGTAACAATTAATGAAGGATCACAGCTAAAGCCACAGATTCAGTCACTTCAACAAGCAATTGAAAAGCTGCTCATATAATTCTCTGTACATTTTCCCTTCCTTTTTCTACAGTTTTTATCAATAAACACTTAACAACTTGACAGTTTGGTCACTTTCAGTGGTTTACTTAATCCGCTCTTTGCCTCTTCCAAAATGACAAGAAGACCTTGTTCCCTGCAGCCTGTCTAGTAATTTTTTCTTTTTTTTCGGAGTCTGCTTGTTGTTCTTTCCCATCCCTCCTCTCACTTCCGTCTCCTATCACAGGCGGCTCTCGCGTGACTTCTCGCGACTCCCCCAAATAGAGAGCTTGCTTACAGGCTACCTTCTCCTTTACTCTGTGGTGAGGAGTATTGCATGACAACCCTAAAAACGGCTGCTTAAGGAGCTATTCATACCATTGAACTCATCTTTTCCCTTCCATATCTGAGAACTTTAATGTATGATATCCCAGAATGCTGTCTTTATGAATATTCCCAAAATATGTTTCCTTTTTTCAGCATCCCATTTCACATCTCAAATGACCTTTTACCTGTTATAATATCTCATATCCTGAAAACTTTGTGTTCCTCAGTGTATGGTGGAACAACGGTAATGACTCACTTAACTTACTGTACATGGTATGTGTACATAACATTTTTCTTTATAATTTATTTGTTGAAAGTATGCTCACTTATGTTTATAGAATTTTTTACAACAACAATGAATGGGTTCAGTTTACCTAGTTATTTACAAGTAAAGTGTTAAAAGCAAAGTATATAATTTATTAAATTACATTTTCTTTTTACAACCACAAAATATCAATGCCTTCTAAAGTTCTTTATGCTTTTCATGTTTTGAAAAATATTATTTTCAAAATGTACAGTGTTGTTCCTTTGAGGCTTTTAATAATTGACTTGGTGGCAAGACACTCAACCGAATACCTGTGTTACCCCTAGGGTTTACATGTACAACATCTCTTTAACTGTTTAAACCCCTGGAAGTTTGAGGCAAACATGATTTAATCAAGCAAAAATGCCCTGACTGCTGTGTTCAAATTTCACCCCTGAGAATCGTCCCCAAGATAAGGACAGGTGGATATCACTTATGAAATCCAAATCCCGAATACATGGATTTCCGTTTTTTATACTGTGTTTTTTAAAATCCGAAAAAGGATTTGCAAAACTGTTGTCATGAACAGTAGTCTTTTTTCTGCTAAACATGCATGCACATGTGAAACTGCTGTTCTTGAGAACAGTTTTTCAAACTCTTTTTCAGATTTCTCCCAAAAAAAAAACGGAAAGAAGGGAAATCCAAGGACAGCATTCTCAGCGTTGAAATTCATTTTTGGATATTTTCACGTTTCAATGCAAATCTGAAATCAGCATTTCAAAATTCAAATCCACATTTTCCAATCAAATGCACTCTATGGTTACTAAGAGTGACTCTCAGCTCCATGCATTTGAGATTCTGGTCTTATTGTTGTGACTCCAGCATTACCAGGAGCAAGGTGAGGGATAGCTACGCTAGCAGGCTCTGTGTCGTAACCAAGTTTTTTCATGTCACGTGTCACCACACTGAATGTCACTTTCACACTTCCTTGTGACCTTACTCTGGTCACTTCTCTTCCTTCTCCTTGTGCAACAAGTTTGGGGTCCACAAACTCTGGTCTCCTACCAAAGAACCAACTATTAAGAAAATATTCTTGCATTTAGTATTTTAAATTGAAAAAATATGTATATATTTCATTCTAAAAAGGAGATATTATTTTTGGTAGAGGGCAAGCTACAATAATTAAAATAGGCCATTAGTTTCCAAGTTCCAAAACCTCCCACTTTCAAAATGAGGCTACGTGCACAATCTTTCTTGTGTAAATGAGTATCATTTGCATAAGAATTAAAAAATCATTTTCATATCAATAGCTTGGTAGCCTGTTCACAGACCCTCTATTTTCTCTTCAAAGTCCGTCGAGTGCGCGTGATAAAATATAAACCGCAGGGGATTTATTGACAACCAGCGCAAGGGGGTAGGGGTGGGGGAAGAAGAAAAATTTATTTTTCTTTCTCACGCTCCACGCTTGTTCTCGCACACTCGTGAGCTCCCTGGTGTTAATTTCTCTTTCTCATGCTCCACGCTCGTTCTCACATGCTTGTTTCGCTCACGAGCTCACCGATGTTTTCGAAAAGAATGAAAAGAAAAATAAATGACGTCTGTGTACAGGCTAATAGCTTGGCACAGAGCCTGGCTTTGAAACAGAGGCTTGAGGCAACTCGGAAATGGCCGTAGATTATTAAGAAACCCAAATATATGTACATGTAATGGAAGACAAATGCACGTTAGGTAGATTAAAGGTGTATAGTCAACGGGAAGGGGGGGGAGGGGGTTGTTACACCTCTTTCCCTAAGAAAGGCACAACAGGATAACAGCAGGATAGGATTAAAAATACAATGTAAACAGCCAACCACTGGTGAGCGGTGAACAGTGATTTACTTTACACCAGATCATCAACAAAACAATGATCTCTAAAGAGAATAGGGATGAATATTGAGGTTATTTTGACTGTTGTAATGAAGAAAACACAACACTTTACCTTATGAATTTCTGAAACTTTGATGATGACTCAGGAACAAACATTGGAATTTCCCTTGTGTGGCTGAATAGCAAACAATAGAATTGATATAGTCACTAACTTGGATAATAAGGACACAATGAAAGATAATAATAATTATCATTTGAAGCAAATTTTTCTTTCTTTTCACTGGCCGAGAGCCCACCACATGACCTGCAAATTACTGCCCACAAATAATGGTCTGCTCATGCACAATGCTGTCCAACTGTGTTTGGCTGCAAATAATATTCTGCTCATGCGTAAAGGAAACCTTGCTTTTCTCCTTCTTGCGATTGCTCTTGCGTGAAAATGGCAGATCCCTTCGCTTCCCAAGGATATTCATTAAAAAAACAAACTCGGTGATCGAATGATAAAACAATTATTGAACTCGGTTATCAGAAATTATTATACATCAGACTCACTATGAAAAATCTGCTTGGTCGAGAGCATTCAATCAATTCACAATAGCTTGTGAACTTGACATGATAAATGCAATATCTGCCGCAGATATTGCATTTATCATGTCAAGTTCAACGTCTGCCTGGTTACCAGGCCCCTTGGAGTGTTCTCCTCAGAAACAGAATGGCTGAACGCTTCGCTTTTGTTTCTGAGGATGAATTATGTCGATTAATTGAGGAAAAAGATTCCAAATGTATACGTTATTCAAACAAAGGTTTTATTATTGTATTTTAAAATTTTTAAATGATCTTGGTTAAGCTTATCAGTGTCAAATTCACCCTTAGTTTTGTCTCCTTTTGCCTATTGTTTAAAAAATGTCTGTATTATCTGCCTCAGCCTTCGGCTGCAGCAGATAACACAGACCTCGGTTTTGATAATTCATGATATCATGCTCAACCTCATCCAATAATTGCTAATTCTTTGCCCCAGTAATAGAAAAATATTTGGAAAATAACCTTGTTATGGTGAACATATTTTGCCCTGTCCCATGGCCCTTTGCTTTATCGAGGTTCAAATGTAGTATTCAAAGTAATTCCTGTAACCTTCTACATCATGTTATCTAGTCCTCAATCATATTACGATTTTTATTTTACCTATTTGTAAACTGTAACTTTTCCTTAGTTAGCCTTGATCTTAATTTCTTTTTTTGCACACACTGTCCTGCCTCAAATAGCCTTGCTAGCTGTGGGCAGTGTATATCATCTGCTTATTAATAAAGATTCATTGTGGTTGTTTAATTGTCTGTTGTAAAATATAAAATATAAAATAATTACTGGTGAAGAAGTGATTGATATACCTTCCCGGTGAGATTGGAACATGAACAGCTCCATATCCTCGTACCACATCATGGCCATAGAAATCCAAGCCATAACAACTGATCACTAGTTGAGGCCCTGGATAAGAATTGAAAGAGCAGCACAATATCCTGTTAAAAATCACCGCTTGGTAATGTGAAATAACCTACAGATACAACTTGAAATAGAGGTTGTTTACCATTCCCATGTTCAAACTGGTCGGTTTACAGTTTGGGCAAATGGTAAGCAAAATTCAAGACTGCTAAATTTCATCCGGGAATCAGGTTTATTATTTGTACTAGTCAGTTCCATTTACTGAAAAACAGCAGCAAAAGGCAGAAACTGGTATCAAAAATAGGTTTGAAAAACCGAAACACAAAGGATTGCCTTTTCAGATGTTCCGTTGCTCCTGGAAATTTTCCCCGTAAAGTCATTTCAAAGTCATTTACTTCGCAACTGGATTTTCAGGAAATGTTTTGAAAATAGCAAACAACCAGAGAAAGATTAAATTAGAGAGTCTGGGTCTAGAATAGGGTATCATTTTCCAGGAAACTGATCAATTGGTTGAAGATTTTAGTCTACGCTAGGGAAACCAGGAATTACCACTCAAAAATATAAAAAAAAACCAAATAGGCAAATTTAAATTTATGCAATTAAGCCCAAAAGCTACTCTAGGATAGGTAGGATTTATTTACTTTATTTTCCAAGGACTTGCTGTCGATCTATATGATGATTCTTAGTAAGACTTGGGGAGTTTCAGTCTTGTATTGGGTAGCAAAATTCAGCTCTGGTATAGGCTAAGGGTTCCAGGGTCCCCGCGGCACATCCCCCCCCAAAAATTCCTAAAGTACCCCCCCCCCCCCGCTGGGGAGGTTAAATTGACTGGAAGTACTGCGCAGACACACTTGAATTGTCAATATACAACATGAAAAACCAAAATAAAAGCCAGTGATAATATACAGAATATTTTTAATGCATTTTTGTACTCACATCCAAAAGGGCTTGTACTCTTGAAAGTAATATCCAGTGGAAAGTTGAAAACAAATACTTGTCGCCTGTCTACACTCTTTTTTGTAGTCTGGGAAAGTCCTTCTTCCCATCCCTGTCAAAAAAGCAATATCGTTCCTATCCGTAGATATTCATGTCAAATTTTGACAACATTTTTACATACAAAGACATTAGGTGCGTGTAGGACATTAAAGGTACTTTTCCGGCATAATTGTCATTATGATACCAAATTGACAAAAACGTATATAAAACTCCTGGATGCAAAGTCGCGAAATAAAGAACGACCTTTAAAAAGTACTTACAGACGTAACGACCCAATCTTGACCATAAACAAAACTGTACTTGCAGTATAAATCGTCAAACTCTGGGAACTAAGGTCGAATACAAAAAGAAAATACAGATTTAATACATCTTATTGCAATCTGGCATACTTGTAAGTTTTGTCTCACCTTTGCGGACTCTATCTGCCCAGATACCATGACGAGAAATACCGAACTATGAAGCCCGCCTCCCGCCATTTTGAATTTTGCGCAGGTGGTCGTTGCTAGGCGCTAGTCAGCGGCAATACAAACAAAAATAGAATATCCGGGCTTTTATGAATTTTTACCAACGCTTGTTTTAGCTAAGGAAAGGAGAAAAATGGCATAAAATTCGCGTCTTTTTGGCTCACTGAGTATTTTAACCATTGGAAATCTTTATTTTGAAATTATTCTGGCTAAAGGACCATAGTTATCATTGTTTTTGGTGGATTTGTCCCTGGAAAGAGGCAATAATTTTGCGTGGCAACAGTTGTGTGTGTTGCTAGTGACGTTGATGGCCCATATTGGTTTGCCTTAATTTCCCGTAATTCTTGGGAAATCTGTTAGCAAGGGAGCAGTGGAAAAAACTGCAAGGAGGCATACTGTATATTATTTGTCTTCGGAAATAATAGCTGATTTTATTAGCTTGGAACGAACTCAACGAGTGAAGTACATTGCTTACTCATAGATCATCCGATCACCAAGTTCATCATATTAAACAAGGTGGAGATTTCTCTTGTTGGCTCCTTTGCATTTACGTGTTGATGCGTCGTCTTTTCTACTTAGAAAACAGAACTCGTGGATGTTACATTTTCCATGAAAACGCATTTTCCGTCTTGACTTGGTGATTTGTATTCACTTATACGTCTTCAAAGATGGCAGTTTACTTTGACCATAGAATTCAATCTCCTGCTGTAGCTATTCAGACTGACATAGCTTGGCACAGTAGCTATCCTCTTTTAGCTGTGGCCTCAAAAAATGAGCCAGATGTGGGAGGTTCTGTGGACTTTTATCTTGATGAGGTAATGTCATAAATACAAGTTCCTTCTCATTACAAGGCTGGTTTTTACTGACAACAGAGCCAGAGTATAAAAACAACACCAATCACAAAGTGTGGGAATGAGCATTGTGATCAGCTTGCATTCTGGTTTTCATAAGATCATAAGTGACAAAGTCATAAGTGGTGTTAGAGGAAGATGGAAATGTTTCTTTTGACTCTGATTTTGTTATGCTTATGACTCCAATATTATTACAACTTCTATTTTTGATTTTCACTAGATCATAAGTTCTCCCTTGACTCTGTTTAAGACCGCAACTCAACTCTTTTAGTGAAAACCAGTCTTTATCAGATACAAATTGTACAACAGATGCACAATGCAAGTAGTGGTAGTTGTTTGATACAAATTTAAGACCAGTTTTGCTCTATAGAGATCATCAGTGGTTTTCGTGATTTTGAAGGGTGAATCCAATAGAACTCTGTCTTGTTAATCCTTTTGGTCTGATTCAAAACATTTTGTGTTGCACTGGTCAATTCAAGCCCTCAATGATTGTGTATTTTGCTGATCCCTCGCATTTCATGACTGAGTAATTTAAATGTAGGTAAACAATGAAAGATCAAGGAGTCACAGTCACAGGCCAAGATTTCATATACAACTGTACATCATCATAAGCTATGAAAATCTAATAGAAATGTTCTGACCAAGCATAAAGCACATATTTCTTTGAAGTTTTGTAATAGAGACCGTCAGATTCTAAGACGAGAATGACTACGTGTGAAGATTTTCTCAATACTAAGTAGTGCTCGCACATTTTGCCAGCGTCATTTTGGCAGGAGAACTTGATAGCTGTCATTGTTCTACTATGAGTTTTAGGGAGGATGTTGTAGTGCTGGAAACAATTTATCAAATGTGAGAAGTTTTATCACTTTTCAGTGGGGAGAGGGCTTAACCTCCTCCAATTAAGGTAACAGTGCTAGCTTTTCAGGAAAAAAAAAGTGCAGTGAAGTAGTCTGGGTGTTTATTTTTTGAGAATACACAAAAAATAACTATTAGTTAAATCTTGTACTTGTAGTTGTTCTGGTGCTCAAATCTAAAGGTCTCTTATGTCTTCTTACTAACACTGTTAACAGGGTGAATTAGTCGAAGAGTCTTCAATCCAGCGTTCTAGCTTGGTAACAGCTATTGCATGGCATCCTGTCAGGAAAATCCTTGCCATTGGTTGGCAGAGTGGTGATGTGCTGATCTGGAATGAGCATGATCGTGAGTTACATGAGGCTTCATCCATTCATCAGTCTCCAGTCAAGGTTGTTCAGTGGAGTAGCAATGGAAATAGACTTGTAACCTGTGATCAGGTGCGTTCACTCTGCACACTTACAGGGCTGTCACTCATCAGGGATTTTTTTAGTGCTATAATGTACATCATTGTTTGGCTGAATCTGCACGTGTTCAACATAAAGGAAATCCTGTGTTCTGACTGGCTCCTTGAGTGGCAAGATGGATGGATTTCCTGCATTGATCCTTTAAGACCAATTTTTTTGTCAGTCAAAATAGCTGGACATTGGCCTTTTCTTTTATGCAATCTTATTGGCCTTGACTTGGTTCATAACAAAGTTAAAAAGAACTAGACCAATATCCAGCCATTACGATAAAAAAAGCTGGGACAATAATGCATATGTGGATTGGTGTTGTATCAAACACTGCTTTATTGGTGAATGTTTAAAGAGAAAAACCGTCTGGGATGCGTGACACTTGTATTTCAATAGCTCTGATCAGGTGATACTTGGTAAAGAAATATAAAAAAGTGTCAGATGTTTTCAAAAAACACAAACGTCTGCGAAGTATATATTGCAGTTAATTTTTTATCTCAGGTAATTTTTGTTTTTCTTTTGTTTCAACTTCATCAGCATATATTACCATACCCAAAAACAAAAGAAAAACAAAAATTACCTGCAATAAAAAATTAACTACAACATATACGCAACAACACTCCTGGGTTTCCTGTGGCCCAACATTTCAACTCGACTGGCCACAGTATTTCTGATGTCCAGGTGCGTGGTGTGGCATTATGCCGTGGTAATAACATTCAACGAAAGCAACGTGAGATGTGGTTGATTTTTCAACTAGGCACTGTTCAGCTGAAAGGACTGAATATCAATTTCAGTTTCATTTGAATTGGGACGTTATAATTATACATCATGTGCACGCTATTACGCGCGCGCGTGCCTCTATCATTTTTATGACGTCTATGATATTGCGTAGTACTGTACAACATTTTTTTTCACACTGAAGAAGGGTCATAAACACGAAACGTTTGTGTTTTTTGAAAACATCTGACACTTTTTGATGTTTCTTTACCGAGTATTACCTTATCAGCTGCTGCTTTATGGGACTGTTTTGAGGAATGGATTTTGACCTTGTGTCCTGTGCAACCCTAGCAATAACTGATAAAAGAAACAATTGCTTCCCCAGAACAGCACCTTAGTGTCATTTAATGATGCAGCAACTCAGTCTCACATGCAAAATGGCCAGACCCCAGTTGTAAAGGTGGATAGGATTATCCATTCAGTGTGCAAAGAAAGTGTGTCCGATAGCCCGGGGCTAGTGGCTTTTGCCCTAGGGCTAGTGATTTTTGTTCTTAACTTGCCCAACGGGCAAGTGCTGTTTTTGGAGGAAATTCAAATTACAGAAGGATTGTAATCAATCCTGCTAATCAAAAAGAGTTTGGGGCTAGTTGAAATGACTTGTGGGCTAGTACATGCTAGCTACAGCTTGCCCCAATGGCAGGCTGTAAAACTGACTTTCTTTGCTCCCTGCCACTTGATAAATATCTTTCCAGTGTTAATGCAATAATATTGGTTTTCCTCTATCAGGTGGATAATGCTATCCAGGGTTTGAACAACTTGGGCCAGATGGTCACATTTTAAGTGCTTTTTGTTAGTGTTATTGCTAGTGTGCTGCTACTGCTCATTTCTATGCTGTAGTCTCAAATGTTAGGATCCATAACCGGGGGACCATTTCCTGCTGCAACCTTAGTTGAAAAGCCATCAAAATATTGCGTATACTTGGCAGATATAAGTCACTAAATTTATATCATCTTAGTAGTTTAATAGTACATGTAATTGCCCACTTAGAGGAAAACCACTCACCCAGTCTTCAAAATCTAGCAAAGCTATTTTGTCCTTATGAAGCTTACCAGCAGTGTAAAATTAATAATATTTCATTAGACTGGGATGCTTGCCATCTGGAAAGCAGATCAGAAGGGCCGCCTTCAGCAGTCTCCACTGTACCAGCACGATGCCTCATCACAAATAACAGCTTGTGTTTTCAAACCACCACCAACCCCTGAATAGTGAGTACACGACTGTGTTTCTACCAATGTCCAAATGGCACGGAATGTTTTAGAGGGTTCAAAGCCAAGTTTTTTAGATCAACTTTGAGGTATCTTGGCATGAGATGGGACACACTGTTTCAATATTGTTTGATATAATTTGGTAGCTTCTTAAATGATTAATTCTTGTAGGAATTACATGCAAGATAAAGTCTTGATGCAATTATTGGTATCTTCTATTAACAAGTCCTTTCAAATATCTTTGTTATAATCTTCATTAATAACAGTTTGTGAAATGCATTTTATATTTCTAAATCTTTAAGCATTATTATCTTCATTTAAGCTTGAGTTGTCAAGTTAAATTAAGTTGTATCCATATTGCAGTGATGTATCAAGCTTGGCAAAGGCTGCTGTTGCTGGAGATGAAGCTGCAATGGATATGCTTTGGCGAAAAAGTGCCAAATCAAGTGTTTCATCATCTGATTATTCATTCTTTTTTGGGGTGGAAGATGGTAAGTGTGTCTGTTGTATAGTGGCCCATACCAGTCATTTATTATATTGATCAATCAAAATCTTTAAGCAACCCAGTAATGGATTATGGAATGTTTAATCGATTATCCACGGTTTTCAGTAAGAATTCTAGTAATAGGAGAAAGGTGTAACATTGTAGGAGAATATTTTTTGAAAGTCTCCTCGTCATAGGCTACCAAATGTTAGGTGGAGAATTCTGCGTAGTAAACGACCCTCTGAGTTCTAGGTTGGACACTAACCACTGAGTTACTGAAACTCTTGCGAGCAGGCTTGGGTCAAATCCACTAATGTCCCTTTCTTGATACAGTTTGTATGTTTTGGATGTGTTCTAAAACATGGTACATCGGCCGTCCTAAGTCAAATGCTTACAAAGAGATTTTTCTGATTATAATGATCTCTGATGATCAACAAGGTGGATCATTTTGATACTTTCCATACAAGTTCAATAGTTGCTATAGTTGTCGCTATTAACATTGTCCAGTTCCAATATCCATCACTTACTTTTTTACATAAAAAAATCTTCACAAATTAACTTTTGAAGGGTTTTCTTTCAATGATTTTTGTTCTTTCTTCATTGTAGGCACTGTGTACTATGTTGATGACAAAGGTCGGGCTGCAGAATGCTTTAAAGCTGATGGTGCTGTTAAGTTCTTATTGTACAGTGAAGGAAAAGACGTGCTTGTTGTTGTTACAGAGGGACTGATTCTTTCACAACACAGAGTGATTCATGACGGTTCAACAACAGAAGTTGCTAAGGTGGACAGAAATTACTTTTCATTTATGATGTTGATAAACAGTCAGACATTGTTGTGTAGAATATTCAATTTATTCCCCATGCTCCTCAAATAACAAGTACATGTAAATAATGGATTTTGCCAGCCAGGGTACTTTGTAGGTCAAAATAATTAATGGTATTAGTGATCTCATACCAAGTATTATTCCAGAAAATATCCAACTCCCCCACCTCCCTAGGAGGCCTTTTCAGTTTAAGCCCCTCCTTCCCTTTGGAAGTTCCAGTTGAGCTTCACGCTTTCCTTAAAAATTTGCCTTTAAGTGCCCCCCCACCACCACCCACCCACCTCAAACAACCTCAACGGGGTGAATATGGATATTTCTGGAACCACACACAGTGATTTTTTTACCTCTGCATCTTATGTCCCTGGAACATAAAGATCCCCAAAGACAAAAAATAATTCATGGCATGTCATGATGTGTCCTGTCGGTTGCGAACATCGATCAATTTATTGATCTGAATGTGTGTTTTGGTAGAAATATCCTGTTCATGTAATTTCTGTGGCAGTTGTTGTGGCTGTTGTTTAATGATACATATTTCTTGTAGTCTTTGTTGTGCTGTAAAATAGAAGGTCTATATTTTAATTATTTCAGTATGAGTTTTAGAGTCTGTCTTCAGATTAACTGTCTGGTAACATAGGCTTAAGCATTTTCAGTTTCAGACTCTTTTTTTTTTTTACTGGGACTCATGACTTTTCGTGAGATGAGTTTCAAGACTCACTATAACTGTTTTTAACAAAATCACTGCCACACAGTGTACCTTATGTTAGAACCTGGCCAAAATAGAAGAATAGAGGACCAACTGGATCTCTGTGATATAAGCGCATGCCTTACGGTAGCTTAAAGAATAATATAAGATGATTATTACTGCATTTTCAGGTGAAGCTTAGTGGCCAGCCTTCAAAAAGCCAAATAATTTGGGCAGGAAGACAGGTTTTGGCCACAGCATCAGGGGAAAATGTAGTCAGGTATTTGGGTGAAATATTCAATATTATTATTAATCAACAAGTTATAACTTTACGGTCAAATTATTCAGAAAAAGCCACCTATAGTACTAGTGTTGTTATTTACAGCTGTACTTGGTTATTCTATGACAGCATAAAACTTACACTGTATGTCTTTATCCTTTTGTAAAGATTTAGGCAAATGGATGGTGATTGTACTGTAGCGTGAAGTACACATCAGTTGCATTAAAACTTGATGTTGTTTCTATCATTGTTCTCAACCAGGATGTGGAATCTTGAACAAAATGACAACTATGTTCTTTCAGTCGATGGTAGTGGTTTTGAGTCTGGTGAAGTAGTAAACTGCATCTCATACGATAAGGTTAAAGGTAAGACTTACAAACAGTTTGCAGTAAGCTCTCTCTTTTGTAACGTAGCAGGGCTGTTAATTAACAACTGCATCACCAGTCATAACACAAAATCGAAATCAAAATAAATATCGTATTTCGAGATTGACCTCACAAGTGAGACGTTATTGATTTGAGATTTTCTCCTGATTGATGTGAGAAATTGACTGAGAGTACTGATTTTCCAGGCAAACCTATAGTGTTACAAGCAATACACAGCCTTACAAATTATCATATTGTAACTATGGATTCAATGCTCAATATTTAAATCTGTGTTACTTTTAAAGGGATACTTGCTGGAGGAACGAACAAAGGCAAGGTGGCCTTGTGGAAACACACAGTGTCAAAACCCCAAAAGAAAAAAGTTGAAGGGCAAGAAAAATGGGAACTCCAATCACCATCTGTTCTAGAAGGACAAACACAGTTGTCTCAGATACAGGTTAGCTAAAGATAAATGGAGCAAACGAACAGTGATGGTGCTAAATTGTTAGGAAATTGAAATGCAATGCTCAGCTTTATCAGCTAGGTTGATTGGATTTGCTGTGACAAAGGGCTAGTGCTCAAATTGTCATTTTCCATTGCAAATTTATCTTATTGACTCGGTTAATAAAACCAAATTAGACTGCGTAGCTGGTAGTTTTGTTGCACACACACAAACAAAGTGAATTGCAAAGCCATGAACGAGCTGCAAAGCGTCAAAAAAAAATTGCTTCCACCTAAATCCCCTCACAGCTTCACTGCTCACTTACGTTATTTTCGTGGTCACCAACGTGCTACACAGTTTTAAAGTCACACTGTTATCAGCTTCTCAGGAATATAAACCCTGGTTTGGAAACATTTTAGGTTGTTTTCATGAATGGATGTAATATTCATTTAGTACCTTAAGCCAATCCCTTGTCCATTCTCTGTTACTTTGGCTAGCCTATTTTCTCTGTACATACATCCATGGATGGATATTGTGTGTCATTTCATTAATTTTTGTTTATCTGTTTCAGTGGGCTGGAAACAAAAGTCTGCTTGCTGTGAATACTGGGGAAACTGTGATTATTCTGAATGAACAAGTTATGAATGCTCATTACAATCTTGAGGTAAGTGACCTGCAGTAATGTGATGGAGGAGAAATTAATGGAGTACCATGTTGCCTATGTGTTATTTTTGAGCTAATAAATTTTTATTGTTTGGTCTGAAATTGGGTGAATTAATTTGATCACCTTGAAATAAACCTAAAAGAGTGTATCATTGAATGTTTTTTGCAGCACTTATTAAAACTACAAAAACTGTTTTTTTCTTTTAACTGCTAGTTTTCTTTAATCAATGCTTTCTTTTAGATTTTATAGTTTTTTGACATACTCCTTAAAAAAAGCCTGTTATATAGCATACTTAACATAGAAAAAAGACTCTCTCTCCTTTCATTTTTTAGCCAAAAATGAAGCAACTTATGGTTGTTTGAGCATTGTTTTCTCTTTCCTTATTTCAGAATGCTGCAGTTCAAGTTTCACCAAGTCAGTTGGCCATCGAAAATTTGGCAACTAATTATAATCAAGATCTTAAGACTGACATCCACATCAAGGGGGTCTTTGTGACAAAGGTCAGTCCTAAAAATTAACATACAGTTGGGCCTGTTTTTAAATGTAGCTAAATTGTAATTGAGGCAAGGATAACCTTGAGACAACACTAGCGGATCAGCGGTTGAGCCCCAGGCAGGCAGGCCTGTGCAGGGTGGCCGCCGGGTCTGCAGGGGCTTACATGTCATTGTATTCATGTATCTCAGCTTTGCCTTGCTTTGCTCAATTGCTGATCTTTGCGGATCGTTGCAAATTCACAGCTTGAGATATCTGCTGGTTTTTAAGTGATGTTGTATCTGTAACTACCTCTAATAATTTCAGGTTGCCTTTTATAAAGTGATGCCATCTTTTTACAAGTGCCTTGGAGTTACCCTTCCTCCACCTATATACAATGTTGAAAATCAAGAAAAACCGAGGATTGATGGGCTGTAGATTGTCATTAGGAATGGGGACAAAGGGGCTGAGCATGTTTACTATTAGTAAAAAAGTGCCAAAAATACAAAATTGCCCCCAGACGTTTGCCTATGATTCTCCGAAGCAGGGAATGAAATGAAAAATGCCACTACAGAAAGCGTTTCACCAGCTGTTTCAATGTTTTGTAAACTTGTGTTATGGAAACCCTTTCAACTCAAGACTTAGTTATCCAATATTATTTCATTTAATATTTTGGCATGCTCTTTTCAAAAGGATGGCAGGTTGATAACATGTTTTTGTTGGAGAATGGCCAGGGGAAATAATGGAAAATAATATTATATATTATGGTGGCATGCAGTCAAGAATTTTGCAGAGTACCGTTAATAAGCAAGAGTTGACAATGTGAAAATGCGTATGGTCAAATTTTACTGCAGAATATCAAAGTATTTTTGTGCTATAATCTTTTGAAACAGAGTCACACAGCAATATGGAATGGTAAAAGGGTGGTGGTGTATGAGGTAGCAGGTGATAAGAGCATGGTCAGAGCAGAAGGTAAGACTGAAAACCTACCAAAGAACACTAGCCTGACAGTGTAGAGCAGGAGTTTTTTAACGGAAACAGGGCTGAGTTATATTGATCACATCCGCCATCTTGAAAAGCAAGAAAAAAAAGAGTAACAGCGGATGGTTGGGAAATGGGGGAGTGTTGTGTAGGAGAGAACCTCCCCTCCTCTATTTAAATCTCATCAACCTCTCCCTTGTAACCAGTTTTTGACCTGCCTTGACTCTCTGGTAGTTTTAATGTCCAAGATGGTGGGATAGCATTATTTCCAGATAAAGTTACAGATTGCGCTGAAAAATATGCCTGCTTTGCAGGCTAAAACAACACACAACATTTTTTACTTAAACCACTTTGGTTTTCATGCATCAGAGAACCTGTGATACTACCACAACTCTACAAATTTTCATATCTGTTTTAACACCTGCTTTAGATCTTGGTAGTTCTCAACACCAACTTGTTGACTTCTGGGACATCAGATTTTACAACGTCGAATAAATTATAACGGGGGTTCTCAGCTGCTGTAATTTTTTAATTATCCCAAATTTTCACGTTCTTCTCTGCAGGATCTTTCAATTCAGATTCTCCAGCTGTTGTTGTTCATGAACAAAGTGTTTACACTGTAGAACCAGGAAAGATTCAAGTCAGAACATTCCAGGTATACTTTCATGTTTATGTGTAATAATAATGAGGTCTCTGCATATTCTGCTCTTTAGAGCTGTAATCCTTTTGGCCAGTGCCACCTATATCTAGAGCCCAGGCTAGGAATGAAGCCAGAAGCCCTCAGATCATGGATTTGCACTTTCTGTACATCCATTATATGAGTGTTATTTGAACAGTGTAACATTTTCTGTATGTGTAGGGAACAGTGAAGCAGATCTTGAGTTTCTCAGAAGCAGAAGGTGACCCAGTCCTATTGGATGTGTGTGGAAACTTTCTTGCAGCTGGTACCTCACTTGGTTATGTTAAGGTCTGGGATTTATCAAGAAGGTAAGGAATACTTACAGCCCATAAGTAACACTTATAAAGTTGTCATAACAATGCATTGAAAATAAATTTTGTAATGCCAGTATTTTACTTTAACCAGTTATTTGCTGTAATTTACTTGGTGAGTGTGGTCATTTTAATGATACGAAACAGTATTGCAGTTCTATTAGGTACATTTGATGAGAACAAATGACATGCCATCCATTTTTCTTCTTTGTTTAGCCACCAGGATTCTCTGACTTCTTTCATGTAACTTTCAAAGATCTCTCAGACAGTCTTTAATATGTCTGAACAGTTAAAGATCTCTCAGGCTTAAAAATAACTTTTCTGTTTGCAGAGAAGCCAAACAACACTGCAATCCCAAATCCTTGGGGGAAAGTATTGCAGGGATTGGAAAGCTTAAGTCTGTCAAGTGCAACTGTAATGGTAGCAAAGTTAGCATCTTGTGTGACAAGGTAATACAAAACGTTGTTATACATTGTCATTAAACCTTTCACTGAAAAAGCGAATGCTTAAGTCTCGTAAGGCTATTCTAAATTTTGAGTGTGGACGAAATCCATGGTGTGACTATTTAAATGAAACCTTTTCAGCAGTACTTTCACGTGGTACTATTTACTTCGTATGTAGTTCTAACTTTTGAGTCTGTGGATGAAATCCTATGGTGTGACCATTCAAATGAAATCTCTTCAGCAGTGCTTTCACGTGGTGCTGTTTATTGTTCAGCATTTTGAAAAATTAAATTTGCAAATTTCGTTCTATTACTTTTGATTTTTTTCACTTTTGGGATAAAGGGGAAAAGTGATAAGGCTATCCAGGAAGAGGCTATTTTGTTGCTTCACCTGTTGTGGAAACTTTGTTGGACAACCTGGCGTAGCAAGCGTTTCCGTGTGGTTTCGGAGCAAAGAAAGACCTAAGAACGGCGAGGAACGGGAATTTCGATTTTTGCTGCGCAAAAAATGGAACGAGAGCCTAGCCTAAGAAAACAGCGGACATTTCGCGACGCCGCGTGGGAAATCTGATTCAACCAATCAGAAGCACTACCCAGATCTGGGTAGTGTCGCGTCATCAGTATGGAATCTCTGCGCTCGTTTCTCAGACGTCGTTTGGCGGGGAAACCAGTGGTAGCGTCGCCAAATGTCGACTGTTTTCTCAGGCTAGTGAGAGCCAAGCTAAGGAGGCTAACTGAAGACTAACATTTATGCAGTACAAGCCCGGTATTCAAGGCTTCCCATGTACGTAGGGCTTTTTACTAATTACTTCATTCATTTTAGGCGAACAACTCTCCAGATTCCAGAATCTACGTTTGGGATATCGAACTTGATAGTTTTCAATCATTTGACTTTGCAACTGGCATGGGCTCAGGAGCAGAAGAGGAGGACAAAGAAAGCGTTGATATCATGAACAGAGCACAGCAGGCAGCTGAAGTCGCTGGCAGGAGACCTTTGTTGCAGTACTGGGATCCTACAGAACCTAAGTTATTAGTCTGCGAGGCTGTACACGTTCCAGGGTTGAAACCAGCAAATGCATCAGCAACTGGAGATGACAGTAGAGAGGTCAGGCTAGAAATGGTTTTACATGTATAGTAGTTTTCTCCCTTTTGAGTTCACTCCGCAAATTTGACTGCCTTGGCTTACTTGGCGATGGATAGAAAGAACGAGAAACACATATGTGCTCGTCGGAATTTAAGGACGGGCTTGGCTAGAATTTGTTAGGCAAAGTAAAAACTAGGGACGAACTCTCAGGTGGTGAATTCGCTAGGGGATGAAACCACCCCTTTGTTTTAGTGGTTTCACACCCTAGTGTGTTTGTCCCCTACGGGTTCACCCAGAAAATTTGACTGCCTTTCGATCAAACCTTCTGAGTTTATTTAGTAGGCTTAAGTGGCATTGGATAGCAGGAACGAGAAAAAACTTTTGTGCTCGTGTAAATCGAAGGAGGGTTCTTGGCTGGAAACCTTTAAAACATTTAGTATTTTAACTGAAATAAATGATCTATCACGCCGTTGTTAATAATACGAGCTTCGTTTCTTTTTTTTTTGCGTAGTGCTGCTGTAAGCATAAATCAAAATTTTAGAACCACAGCTGTCATTTCGTCCAATGTCAAAAACGTCCCCACATGGCATCCCATCTCGCTCTGATTAGATCGTATCCTGTCCCGGAGCAAAGTTTGTACAAACGGGCTCCACCCCGAGGTCCAAGTCCTGTACCCTTTTATGTACCATTTTTGACAGAAAAGGTACCCCTTTCGTATACCTTCTATTGACAATTGGTACCCCTTCCACATACCTGGTTGAGATCTTTACATACCTTTAAACGGCTGTAAAGGTACTGTATTTTAATACGAATAAATCACAAGACCAGAACGTTTGCTCGACTTTTTCACAGTCAAAATGCATCTGTTAGCCCTCCTGGGTTTTCTTGCGACCGAGATGACAGTTTTCTCTACCCTTTCATATACTTCAGCTAGTCAATTTTCTATTCTTTCAAATACTGTATACCTGGAGCCTGAAAAAGGTACCCTTTCAGGCGGAGCCTCCCCGTGTAGGCTGTTTTAGGGAGTAGCCCTCGGGTAATCTGTTCAGTACGATATACTGGACTAGTATTATTTTACGTTTTCTTTTGCAGTAAAACGATAATGATATCTTATATCTTATAATTATGTTTTTTGTACTTTTTAACAGAGTGATGTGATGGTTATATCACTGTTCAGCACCCCAGAGCATGGGATTCTCTTACAAGATTATTTTCCAATAGACCCGGCATATTTCAGTAAGTTCTGTGATACTTGCGTCTTTTGCAAAAACACTATCTCCTTATTACAAATTTTAGCATTTTCACATGAGAAGATGACAGTCTGGCGGAGTTAATCGACTCTTGTTGGCTCGAACTCTTCAAGATGCCCTTAGAGGGTATTTCTTTGCTTGACATTTTTGTATATTTCAATGTTAATATTTACTGTTAAACTCATCACAAATAGATGAGCTTGGGAACTGGTGCCTAAAAGGTTAGCGGGGTGCCAGATGCCAAGCTGCAGGGGAGGTATCCATGGCAACCCTGGAACGCGGGAACCACCCAAAAAAGCGCCCGCTAACCGGCACCGTCACACTGAAACAATCAGTGGAAATAACTTACCTAAAAATACTTACCCTGATGACCCAACGCAAAAGAGGGAGGGAGGAGAGGGTGCATGAATCCGCAATGATTCGCAATAGCAAAGCGTTTGATCCGCAAAGATCAGCTGATAACACTGCACGTGTAAAGCAATGAACCTTGAAACCCTGGGAAACCTCTAGAGGCCACCCCAAAGGTCACGTACTTCAGATGAGGGAGACCGCTGGCTGCATTTGCTCACATTTTAACTTTGCCTAAATGATATTTAGCCACATTAATAAATGTTTGTTGTAACTTCTAGGTTTGCTTGGCGTTCAGGTTCCTTACTTTTTATTGGTTAAAAAGGTTAGTGTGACTACTAAAGTAATTTATTTTCATGTCAATGGTCTTCCAAAACACTTTTTGTTCTTCTTATCCTGATTTAGTCTTTATTTTCCATGTATACCTTGCCCTTACTTTCTCATTCGTATATCTGTAATTTTTCCGTCTTTGTCATGTTATACGCCTAAGTGAACGCTTTTACAGCGTATTCCTTTTTAATGAAATCGTATTTCTTGAAATCCAAAGAGCGGTGAGTTAGAAGGCGCCCCTCCCCCTGACCCACCGTCATACGGAGCTACCAAGATACCCCTCCCTGATAAACATCACATGGTCACGAAACACACTATGAGGGACTTCATTGGATTAGAGAATGCTGATCTGGAGGCTAGAAAGGCCATGATGAACTTCAGCTACCTCTCAGCTATCGGCAACATGGATGAAGCATTCAAAGCGATCAAGTTAATAAAAAGGTTGGTAAATCTGAAAAGTGGCTCTGCGTTCAGCTGAGTGTATTGACTTTTTTTGGTGGGGAGGAGAGGGAAGGGGAGGCATGGCAAAAGTGGATCATTTTACGTTTCTGGGAAACTGCCCACCTACCCCTCCCCTAAACCAACATTAACACTTCTCACTTAAGGCAAAATGCTGGCTTAGGGGAGGGGTAGGTGGACAGTTTCCTAGAAACTTAAAATGATCCGCAAAAGTTATCATCCCAGAGCCGGAAATCCAACTTCTTGAAGTGGGACTGTGAAAACAAATACAGTCAAACCCGGTTAATATGGACACTGAGGGGGCCATAGAAAGTGTCCGTATTAAGCGGGTTGAATTTAGAGAAAATATAAGGGCTTTCTTTCCCCAGGTAAAAAGCAAACTGCCCGTAATAATGAGGTGTTCGTAAAGCGGGATTGTAAAGCCTTTTTACATGATGTGTTAGCATTAGATTCCAACGGCCTAAACCCCCTTGGACACCTTATGAAGTTTACACATCCTGGTATTCCTTATCGCCTCTGTTTCGAGCAAGGAGTATAGTGATTAGGGTTAAGCAACAATACTGACTAGAGTTAAGCACTGAAAATAGTGATTAGGGTTAAGCGCTGACTCCAAAAGGTTAGCTTCTATTTAGAGTTAGGGTTATTGCCTTATAGCTTCAAATCAAACCATTGCCCTGGGTTCGATTCTTACTCACGCTCTTCTGAATTTTTTTTCCTTAAGAACTGAAGAGACTTATACTTTCATGAACATTTCCTGAGCAGAAACGTCAAGACACTTAGAAATTTCATCTAAGTGTATTGTACAACGCAATAAAGAATACTACGTTGTGTAAACTTAATAAGGTGTCCAAGGGGTTAAGGCCGATGGGATCTAATGCTGAGCCATGTTGGTGTCCTAAAACAATGACACGGCGGCCATGTTGGTGTCCCTGACAAATCCTGTGGAAATTGAACTCTTTTCTTAACTTATGTAAACGCTTTCTCCAATTGCAATCCCTGAATTTGCATAGCTGCTGACGATGTGAGTAAAAAAAGCTGTATAATACAACGTGAAATTACGGTTCAAGAGGTTTCAAATTTTGCTAACTGAGCGTTTCCTTGGCAGCGAGTCCGTGTGGGAAAACATGGCGCGGATGTGCGTTAAGACCAAGAGACTGGACGTGGCGACTGTGTGTTTAGGGAACATGGGAAACGCACGAGCGGCTAAAGCACTTAGGGAAGTACAGAAAGAGCCTGAACTGGACGCCAAAGTGGCTTGCTTAGCCATTCAGCTTGGAATGAATGTAAGTACTCTGGGGTCATTCTAACATAGTCTCTTTTACCCGGTGTTGTCCCAGTGTCTTATTAACGTGTTGCACTATGAGAGAGACCGACCCCCTTTAAACTAAGTACCTATTTACAGTAATACAAGGGTAGTTTCGTTCTTCCTCCGAAGGGCGTACTCTTTATTGGTAACATTTTATTCGTTGTCGAAATGGAGACACTCAGGTATTTTTGTGATGACCATTTCAATCACTTGATTTAATGGGAAAAATAAAGTTAGACAATTACATTACAATATCCTCTCTACTGCTAAGTTGTTAACTTTAATGTAATCTTGACAGGAAGAAGCAGAGAAGCTGTTAAAGAACTGTGGTCGGTTTGACATGTTAAACAAGTTTTACCAAGCTTCCAATCAGTGGACTAAGGTCAGACACTTCAACAGTATTAGTATTTTTTTAAATAACTTAAGGTCCGTTTTCTGTTTTGTTCAAGTTCGGTTTCCTAGATTAGTGTTAATAAGAGCATTATTGGCTTAAGGCCAAATCAGTTTACCGCAATCTGAAGTCACAACGTTGCTAAGCGCGGAAAAAAGCGTTCGATCAGTGTAAGATCTGAGAAACTGGCCACCTATCCCTAACCTTACTCAACGTTTACACTAACTTGTCACTTGGGACAAAATGTTGGTTTAGAGGAAGGGGAGATGGGCCAGAATGCAGGATCCAAGAATCAGCCACCACCGTCACCAAGGCGGGAAAAGTGTGATTTTGCTAAGGGCAGGAAACTCTGCAGTCGGTGTTAAAGGCGGGAAAACGGGAAACCGGTTTCAAGAGCGGGGAAACTCGTTTCCGTGATTCTATACCCAGTTACTTTGTTAGACTTACACAGTTTTAGACCTGTCGTATATAAAGACGTTTTTTTTCCTGTTCTTTGTTGCAAATCGTCCCTTGATTTACGAAACAACAACAACAATAACAGAACATTACAGAAAATCTTAGACTTGAAATTGCATTGTACTTTTGTTTTTTTAATCAGGCTGTGGAAGTGGCGGAACTTCAAGATCGCATACATTTGAGAACAACTTACTATAACTATGCCAAACATCTGGAGTCAACGGGAAACATATCAGCTGCCATCGTTAAGTGAGTAGGAAAAAGCAAAATAAAAAAATAGACACCGCTTATAGGGAGACAGGGAATCTTAGAGGGTGTTCGATGTAGTGAATAGTACATTTGGTTTTTTTACCGCACTGGATCATTTTTCTCGTAAAGCAGCTTCGAAACTTTCTTGCAACGCAAGTTGGCAAAAAAAGTTGACGGTTTGTAACACCTGAAATTAACATGTCTCATTGTAATTTTGGTGCAGCAAACCTTGTTTGAGGTAAACGTCGTCTGACCAACAATCCCAAGGCCGACGGTGCGCTTATTTTATCCCTTCCCTATATCTTTCTCTCTCTTTATCCGGGTATTTATGGCTTAGTCGAAGCAAGGATTTGAGGTTACACCTGGGAACCTCTCGCACTGAAGGCCGCGCACGACCTTTTACATATTGTAATGCGGCAATTTGTTGGCTTTTAGTTTTGAAAAGGCAGATACTCACCGTTTTGAAGTGCCCAGGATGCTATTGGAGGAACCTCAACAACTGGAAGCCTACATACTCAAAACAAAAGACAAGTGAGTGGAATTCAAAATGGCTCTAGGTCTTTAATGTAGGGATGATTTCATTGCCGATAAGCTTTACCCCACTCGCTCATTTTCTGCGTATAAAGTATATTTGATAGTCTGGGCCCAGTTGTTCGAAAGCCGATTAGCGCTTAACCCGGGTTTCTTTTTCTTGTGTTCAAAAGCATTTTCTCGGATAATTTTCTCTGCTGTTTTTAGAGCTTCCAATCATCAACTTGTAGACAAAAAGAACTGAAACTGAAATGCTTTTTAAGCTTTCAAATCTGAATTCAAATCTCGCACTAACCCTGGGTTATCTTAACCCAGCTTTGAACAACTCGGCCCTGGAGAAAGAAGTTAGTTTGTTAAGGAGCCTAGGGAGTAGAAAGGAGAAAGCATCAGCATCACCACCACCACCACCACCAACACCACCATCATCATCATCATCATCATCATCATCATCATCATTTTCCGTTCATTATAGCCAGTATTTCTGAGTGCGCTTGTTTGCTTGGTTGGACGAAGGAGTAAGCCATTATTCTGGCGGGCGGAAAGGGAGGCGAATATTCAAGAAATACGTTAAAAGCCTTGAAACTCGAAAATTCCGGCTCTTGTTCCCAAATCGGAAAGTCCCTGTTATTGAAGAAGTGGACAATTTACCGGCTAGAATCTACTTCCCTTTTGAACACCAGTTGTTCATCTATCCTCTCCTCTAAAAGCCTTTTGAGGGTGTCTTGTTCAGTGTTCGGTTGGTGTTATTGAGGAGACCGTCCGTAACAAGAAATACGCTAGTCAATGATAACCATGCACTGAGTCATACAGAAACTAGAAAGAAATGTGCTGCAACAACATTTGCTTGCTTTTTTATCAGGGAGTTACGTAAATGGTGGGCGCAGTACATGGAAAGCACGAGTGAAATGGAAACAGCGCTGCAGTTTTATGAAGCGGCGCGTGATAACCTATCACTGGTCCGAGTTTACTGTTACTGTGGCAACTTGGAAAAGGTAAGCTTTTATCAACTTTGTGCAGTCTCCCACGTCTTATGTCTTCTTAATTCACTCCGAAGATAAGTGACGGTCAAAATATTTTAGGTTAGTGTGACTGGAGCTCGAGTTTTTTCAGCCTGCAGACGCGGGGTAACTCGCGCGCGCGTATCTTTGTTTTCTAGCTTCGACTTCACGGGAGAAAAGGTTTCTTGCCAGTAAATTATCTCGCCCCTTGGTTGGGAGCTTATCATTTTCTCATTTGTAACGTCAATTTCAGGCGGCAGAAATCTGCAACGACACTGGCGACAGAGCAGCTTCATATCATCTTGCACGTCAATTTGAAAACCAGGTTAGTGTAAAGTGCTTGTTAACACGTTGTTACTTTTTACCGTGTCCACTTTTTTTGAGCGAGTCCTACAAAAAACATAGGGTGAGTTCCTTTGATATGATCCGGATCATCCCAAAGGAATGCACCCATAGTGTAGCACTTTTTTTAGAACCGTACAATTTCTTGATGATTTTCTTGAGTACGAGGTTATTTATAAGACGAATTATTTCCTTTTACTAGAGATTGAACACTGAGTGTAATGCTTTTTCCACGTAAGGATACAGTAATTTTGTTAATAATTCTTTTTGATTTTTTTAGGAGAAAATAAAAGAAGCCATTCACTTCTATACTCGAGCCCAGTGTTACAGTAACGCCATACGACTCGCAAAGGTATGTTACCCTTACCAGAGAATTTGGCTTTCACTTTTTGCGGAAATGTGCGAAGGATTAGTCTGCTAGAAGCTTTCCATAACGGTTTTCTTAACACTGAAGAAGTCTGTTTCTAAAAAAAGAGTTTTGACACTGATATTTCCATGAAATATCATCCCATCAACTAAACTTGGAAATTACGCTTGTAAATGTTTCCGAAACGCTGTTGTTTTCAACCTTTTTAAAACCCTCTTTAAATGATTTTAAGAAACACTTTAGCGCAGTATTCGACTTTAGGCCTAGAAAAACACAATTTAAAGAAGCTAAACATATTTTACCCGTTCGATTTTGTAGGAACATGGACTTGACAATGAACTTATGAATCTTGCTCTTCTTAGTTCACCACAAGACATGCTGGATGTTGCCAGGTTAGACTGTAACAATAGTACATTTGATGGCAGAATCTCTTTCCTGTTCCTACCCTTCACCTCGAAATTCTTCATTTCTATCACTGAACTCGTCTTTCCTTCTTCTAAATATTCTGTATCTAAGTGGGAATTTGTTAAACGAAAGCAGTTCTTCTTTACCGATAGTCTTATTTCAACTGTTACTCTTCCTGTTGTTTTATTTTGGGGATTTTGTTTAAACGACTAAGAATATACTGGATATGTTTAATACATCCTTGGCCCAAAAGACAAATGAAATAAGAAAAAAGTGAGGAAAAAAAACTAACTTAGCAGAGCGAGGTTTTGATCCTCGGACCTCTGGGTTATGGGCCCAGCACGCTTCCACTGCGCCACTCTGCTATCTGTTAAAGAAGGAGCGAAATTATTGCTAATTAAAGCTTTGTTATGATGAAAGAAGGTTACTTATTGCATCATCTTTGTGTGCGTACCATGTATGCATAATTATGCGTTTGCTTTGTTATTATGCAAATAATTAAAACAAACCGAGGTCCATTTGGTTTCGTTTAACTTTATCTGGTTTTGAAGGAAGATCTTATTGCTTTGATGATAGTGTTTGGCAGAATTACCTCTTAAACTCCATAAATTTATCGGTATAATCGCTGTTCATGTAATGTTTTTTTTTTCAAGAGGATTAGTTTGAGAGTACTACGTGCATAAGTAATGTTGTGACAAGTATTTGATTTCGCTCGAGCTTCTATTTTAAAGTACCGCTTAAAAATGGCACACAAAAGATAGTTGAGTTTCCATTCTTTTATTTATAAAGGAGTTTGCTTGCAATCATAGCTATTCATTTCTTACGCGGTTGGAGTTTCCTTGCCTTCTATTTTTAGTTTTATTTCCTCTTTTTTGACTACAGTCGCCAATATATGTTTTCGCTTGGAATGGTAAACCACAGCGACTGTAAACCTCGGCAATCCGTCCTTAAGAGAGAATTTCTCAATAAAAACAACGATGATGCTCGTCAGACAATTTTAAAAATACACCCGTTAAAGATACCAGAATCTAGTTTTGCCAGGTGGCAAAGAGATGCCAATTCCGTAACAACAAGGAGAAGTATCCAACTGAGTGAAAAATAGTTTCCTTCATATTTCGGCTGAGTACTTAAAAAGTCCTTAAAGGGCACTGTTGCGACACAAATCCTGCTTTACCCGTGCCGAGAAGATCGAACGTCTTATTGGAATTTTTATGGGATTCGGTTCCCAGATAAGACTGATTATTCTTTAGTTACGCATCCGCTGCAATCTAAAGCTGCTGCAGTACGTGAAACTCGTAAGGCGTTTCATGGAGTATCTGTGTAGTGAACGATATGCAAACAAAAGCCGCTTAGTGCATAGCGATATTCTTCCAGCGACTGCTGCGACTGCTGCTCAATGTTGACACCGATTTCTGCCGATTTCTTGCTGCCGCCTGACATATGCGGTCATCTGTATGACCATCTGGGTTAAGCTGTTTAAAACCTAACGTCGGAAGTAACTGCTAACTTGGGTTGGCTGGACTGAACGTCAGACGTTTGCGTTTGTGTTAAAGGAGCTGTGTCACGAAATTCAGCCAAGTTAGGAAATTACAAAAAGAAATATTGAAATATTAAATTAAGAGAAACATAAAAATAACCGCTTAAAACTTTAAAGGAAGGTTAAAATAACATAACAGAAACAACATCAGAAACAACAGATGCCACGGATGGGCAAAACTGAAGAAGATTGAAACGGATTGAAATTAGTGTTTTCGAAAATTGTTCAGCCTAACAGTTTTTCAAAGTTGATCCCTGCTGCTTGCAACTTCAAAAATAATGTTCAGGAGACATGTATGTTTGTCTCGGATCTCTGATTTTGTCATTTACTTGTAATTTCTTTGCTTACTTTAAGTTCCATAGCGATTGATGGCGAGTAATTGGCAGAATGAAACAAAATGAACTGGACTGCCGTGACACAGCCCCTTTAATGCAATGGGCCATTTCCGAGTTCGCCCGGGCCTCTGTAACAAAACGAGGTTAAGTGCTCAGCCTTTGATAAGGAAATGATTTTTCATTCTCATGCAAATAAAAACTCATTTTCACAGGAAAGGTTGTGTGAGCACTTGGCCTCATTTTGAAAGTGAGGGTTTTTGGAACTCGGAAGTGGCCTATTGGCGTGGGCAGGCTCCCGAGGGAGGGTGGTATGGGTCGCCGGAGCTCTCCCCTCCCCCTCCCTTTGTTTCGTTCCCCTTTCTTACCGTCTGGCGTTTTCAGTTCGCTTTTTTTTCTTCGCCCTATACCCAACAAGGGAGCGTGTTCACATCCTACATCATCTAACAACACTGGTGCCAATAAACAGGAAAATATGTCTTGCACGAGGTAAATTGAGTTATACTCTTCTTTAATTTACACAGGTATTATGAAAATCATCCTAATATGCAGGACAAGGCAGTTATGCTTTATCACAAGGTATGCTTTAACTCGTAACACGGTTTGCAGTAGGGGTTTTTAAAAACCTCGTTAGCCTAACAGTTTTTCAAAGTTCATTTTTTGTTATTTGTAATGTTGATTGAATAATGCTTGGTGATATGTTTCTTTGATACAAAACTGTGATTTTCTCGTTTACAAGTAATTTCTTTTTGTTAACATAAAGTTCTTTTTAAATGAAGATATGACCGTCGCAGTGCTAATTGCAATTGCAAATTAAACCGAAAAAAATTTCGGGACTTTAACGGGATTCGAACCCATGGCCTCTGCGTTAGCGCTGCAGTGCTCTACCGGCTGAGCTATGAAGACTGGTTCATACATTGGGAGCAGGCCAATTTGTTGAGTTCATCATATAGTTCCTTTACGAAGAAAGACGGGTAATTGACAATATAAACAAAATGGATCGGAGCATTATTCGTTTCTGGGAAACTGCACACCTACTCCTCCCCTAAGCCAACATTTTGCCCTTAGTGAGAAGTAAGTGTTAATGTTGGCGTAGGGGAGGGGTAGGTGGCCAGTTTCCCAGAAACGTCAGTAATGATATTATCCAACAAAATGAACTAAACAGTCGTGACACAGCCCTCTTAATTAACCAGCAATTTATGCTTCTTCTTCTTTTTTTCTCAGGGTGGTGACATCACCAAAGCACTGGACCTGTGTTTTTCAACGCAGCAGTTTGCTGCCCTTCAAGTCATAGCTGAGGATCTTGATGAGAACACAGACCCTCAAATGCTGGATAAATGCTCAAAGTTCTTTTTGGAACACGAACAGTACGACAAAGCTGTTGAACTGCTGGTTGTTGGTAAAAAGGTGATTAGTTAGCCCTGTTAAGGTGTACCACTCACCCAGGAGTCTACGTCCCTTGCTGTTTTGGGACGTCAGTGTCTTATCGCTTGTCTTGACTGTTGTGAGTCGCGGCCTGAAACTGGTCACTCCTTTTTTACAAGACTGATTGTTGTTACTATCGTAGGTTATATTTCACATGGACTGTTGTTTGTCGGTCTGTAGACTTGTACCAAGTCGACTTCTTTTTATCATTGACCACTCTCTCATTGCCCATAATACGCCTCTCTTGCCCCCCAAAATTTAGCATAAGCATTGTTTTCGCTTTCTGTTGGGAGGACTGTAATACCCAGGAGAAATGGGAAGCAACTGGTCAAACAAAATTTTTGGGGTCAAACAAGGTATGTTATGGGCAATATCCTACGAAAATGGTGAGTACAGAGCAAATTTTTGTCGAAGCGAGGTTAAATAAGGTCGCAAAGCGACTTAAGCTAGCGACGCAGTCAAAGGCGACAAAGCAAATACTGCGCGACGACGAAGGGTTTCGAGAAAGTCTTGTGGATCTCACTAAGTCTCCACGATGTTAAGGAAAGCTAATTTAATCCGCTTTTTCTGTAGTGGCTTAACTGAAAACTAACCAGCTAACATTTGTCGTGTTGTCGTTAGTTTTCGGAGGCTTTGGATCTGTGCATGTCTCACAACGTGATCATCACAGAGGAGTTAGCAGAGAAGATGACGCTTCCTAAAGGTTCTGACCCAGAGCTACGAAACAAATTACTGGAGAGAATAGCAGACTGTTGTATCCAACAGAGATCATATCACCTCGCTACCAAAAAATATACTCAGGCAGGCAACAAAATTAAGGTAGGTTTGTTGTTAGTTTTGCTGTAGTAGTAGATTTCGACGAAGGACTTTTTTGAAAGTCTAAAGTTACTACAGCGATGTTGTCGATGATAATGATTGACGTTTGAAATTTCCGTTGGTTGTAATTTGTGTTTTACGTGATCTTGTGAAACTTTGTTTTCAAAGAGAAACGGGGAAAAAGCGAGAGGAAAAAAGGAACGAAAAGAAAAACATAAATTACAATAGAAAGGGGTTGTGAATGAATTAGCGTGCGTGGCGGGCATTCAAAAAATAAGGGGAGGGGAATTTAAGTTCGAGACAGCACGCGCGCGCCCGGAATCTGCGTCTCCTTCCCCTTCCCTTTCAAACGCCTGCCACGCAGACTATGAATGAATCTCTTACCCTCTTTTCTCCCCTAAAAGGCCATGAAGTCTCTGCTAAAATCTGGTGACACGGAAAAAATCATCTTCTTTGCTGGTGTATCCAGACAAAAGGAAATTTACGTGATGGCGGCCAACTATCTTCAGTCCCTCGACTGGCGTAAGGATCCCGAAATCATGAAGAATATCATCGCTTTCTACACGAAGGGAAGAGCGCTAGACTCACTTGCCAGCTTCTACGATGCCTGTGCACAGGTATGTTGGGGTCTGTGTGCTTAAGGGAAAGAAGCAGAAAATGTTGATAACGTTACAGTATTTGCATAATAGTTCTGTAGTAAACTATAATCATAAACTTGCCCTGACAGGATGCAAGCCTGATCCTTTATATGCTGCTTATCAGCGAAGGGACGATAAGAGAGGAGGCATCATACAAAAAATAGAGGAACTGTTCTTCCTATTGTCCAGCGTTCAAGCTTTTTTTAAGACCCTTCTTATGTTAGCTCACAATAGCTCGCAATGTTTTCAGTAATGGACTGAGTCCCGCTTGTAGTGGAAGCTCAAGGGGAATCTTTCTGTATTCAGTTGTGTTGAACGATAAAGTGTTCCTCCACATGAGACTCCTGTACAACCCAGTCTCAGTTAAATTTTGCTTGTTTTCAGGTGGAAATTGACGAGTATCAAAACTATGACAAAGCTCTTGGAGCGTTAACAGAGGCGTACAAGTGCATGGCGAAGGCCAAGACAAAAAACCCCACCGACCAAGAGGAGAAAGTAGCTTACCTTAAACAGAGAATAGGATTTTTAAAGAAGTTTGTTCAAGCGAGAAGGTAAGTAGTGGAGCGAGGAGCGAGGAGACGATTCTCTTTGCACACCTCTTATGATTTGCCCTTTTAAGTTGTGATAAGGTTTGTCAGTTTCGTTATACGTTCGTCTTTTGTAGGACATACGAAGAGAACCCAGAAGAAGCGATTAACCAGTGCCATATACTACTGGAAGAACCGGATCTTGAAACAGCTGTGCGAGTTGGAGATGTTTATGGGGTCATCATAGAACACTACGCAAGGCAGCAAAATTACTCCAAAGTAAGTTTTACACCGAGACTTGTATGCGTAGGAGTTTTAAAGTGAAGTTTCAAATCAAGTTATTGGCTGTGGCAATGGACCAACGCTCTTCTCTTGACGATGTCGTAAAACCCAATCATTTCTCCAGCACATTTGCGTCATGACATCTTTCCCAGTGCGAGTTTGTCTCACGGGCATTATCTTGTTGAAACTGGTAGCCTTAGGTATGCAACTGTTATACTCTTCTGTAGTCAGTCGCCTAGGAAGTGGCCTTTCGTTTTAAGGAATTTGATGTCAGCTTTGTTTGTTTTCGTATTTTTATTCCATTCATATATACTAGTTTTCGTACAGAGCGCAGTTAATTGAGTCCATAAGATTCGAGGACGAGAACGAGATTTAACATAGTTTTTCGCGTATTCACAAAAAATCGACAACCCTGAAAGCTTAATTGCCGGAATTTTTTCACCAGAAAGTTTAGCACGGTTATTTTTATTGAATGAGGTTTAAAAGCCCTCTCCCGCACGCAAAATAATAAAACGTCTAACATTTGATAACTTGCTTCCGTCGCTACAACATTCTTGCTAAAACCCGTAGTCGAATGACGACGGCTGTCACGTTTTGCCGCCAAAATGACGCTGGTTCACGCGTGCGCACTCGTCCTCGTGGTCCTCAGTCCTCCTCGTCTTAGTATAGAATCTAAAGTTCTCTAATGCTTAAGACGCGCTAACAATATGCCATTCACATCGAAAGCACATTTTACAGTTTTTCTTACTGTAGCAAATTTTTCCATTCTTCAGGCGTATTCCGTTATGGAGGAAATGAGACGTAGAGTACCCAACGTTAACATGGCGTACTACGTAAACATGAAGACAATAGAGGCCACTCACAAGGCTGTGGGTGTGCCCTTGGGCCGGGGTATGGGCGCCGAACGAGAGATCCGGGGGGAGCTAGACGAGGATGAAGGAGAGGAGGTGGAAGAAGAGGTTGAAGAAGAAATGATGAATGGACATGATGATTATTAGCTACAAGTGGATGCAGAGAACTGGAAACTAATGAAAGTCAAACTGGCTTTGGTTAGTTTTTACTGATTCAGTTCCAGTACCACGATAGGCGAGAAGAGAGAGACTGGAAACTATACAAATCAGCATAGCAAATGTTATTGAGTTAACAGGACTGGACTGCTGGGGAGAGATAATGACTGGAAATTAGTAAAAATACACTGAAGTGATTGTTACTTATACAGGACAAGTAAGAAGAGTAGCGAATGACGGGAGGACTCCTGAACGAAAAAAGGTTAAAGATTTTAAAGGACATTTTAAAAGTAGAATTTGATTTGCTAACGAATTAACAGGACCAGAACAGAGTAAAACAGCGAAAAGTATTCTTTTAAAAACTCTAAAAAGGACAAATCAAGAGAGCTGGGCTGAAAATCAGAGCAAGTCACAGAAATTCGGCTGGTGGTTACTTGGAGTACGGACAGAATACAACATCTTCTGCAATAAATGGCGATAAGAGAACAGTAAAAAACCTTTGCTGATCACTTTGCAACTTACCAAATTTTGCAAATCCTGCTGGCTTAAGCATTGATAAGTACCTTCCTCTTCAGGGCCAGTCGTCATTCTATGTTAAGAGAAAGATTCCATTGAAAGAAAGTTCACAAAATAATGTATTGTGGTAAAATGTGTTTCTAATGAATAGCTAGATGTTTGGACGGTTAAAAAGAACTTAATTTATTATGCATATACGTGAGAGTTACATCCCATTGACACTCAAGGTACGGAAAAACGGGCAAAACACTGCAAAACGAGTTGAATAACGATGTTGCGCGTTATACCACACATATAAAACCTGCCTTGCAACAAATCAAGTTGTTAACAGGTTTGAACATTGGTGGCAAAACGCGAAGTTTTTCTTAACTTGCAGCAATGTTGAAAAACAAGTTGCACGTTTTTTGTTGCCCGTTTTTCGGTACCTTGACCGACTTGGGCGCGGCACCTATTGATGCATAGAATGTAAATCTGCGCAGACGTAGTTTGTTGTAGAACCCGTAACGCTGTATTTCTACGTGGCGTTTGTCATACATGCTGGTTGGGTTACTATGAACCGTTTATTAAGATGCAGGGATTTTCAGTTTCTCAAATTATCTGTACCGTCTTCGTGAATTGGGACAGAAATATATCAACGAAGGTGAAATCTGGAAAGTGTTTTTTAAGTGTACATTCGGTGTAAATACTGGTATTATATTCACTTTCAATGTACTTACAAATGCTCGGTTTCTTGCATACTGTTCTATTTATTCGTTATCAACACGTTTGTTTAAAGTATCTTGTAAATATGTTTAAAGTTGAATATGAAATAAATAGTGCCTATATGGTGTGCTTTCCTAAAGATAACCTATATTCGCTTTCGCCATAACCGCTGAATAAATGTACTGAAGGCGTACCTTTTAAGGGTTAGGTTGGATTTCCACTGTCGCTTAATTTTTCCGTGCGCGGTACGAACGTAAATTTTACGCGCGCAAAAAATAATTGAAGCAGTGCATGAAAGGTAACACTTAAACGTGAAAGTTGAACGACGTTCAACTTTTACGTGTTCGCGCGACTTTGCCTCTAGTTTATTTGTGCGCGTAAAAATTACGTGCGTAAGCACGGGAAAATTACGCGACTGTGGAAATCCATCCTCAGGATCCATTTGAAGTGAATATATTTACAAATTTCAGAGAGAAGAAGACCTGTTTACAACTCTGTCTAGCGGTAATTTGCAATTCTTAAAAAGAAAAGGACTATTGAAGTCAGACTTGTATACTTCCACAAGATGAATAGGGAGCTTAAAATGTAAAAACGAGGACAGACACGAGAACCTCAAAAAAGACTCTTGGTCTAATGAGAAAATCAATAACGGCACGTGCATTACACCGTACAATAGACCTTTGTCACGCGGCGGCCATTTTGTCCCAAGAGATTAAAAAAGCTTTGTATTTGCACGGCCACCTCGTTCTCACTGCGAGGCTAACCGTGCAAAAACAAAGCTTTTTTAATCTTCTGGGACAAAATGGGCCGCGTGACAAAGGTCTTTTCACTTTTTATGGAGGACGTGTAAACGGGCCACCAGAAAGTTTTCTCTTTCTGAACTTAAATGTGTTCTAGGGAATTCAACTCCAGGTGGGTCTCCACATTTTGCAAAGTGAGTAAGTTGGATTAACCACGATGAAGATTTAAAAAACTGGAATTCACTGTTTTTGAAAAGCAATGTTCTCGCCCCGTTGTAGCCTGATACAAACAACAAGCCGCAAACCTGTCGTAAATGGCCATTAACTGAGCTTAGATTAGGAAAAAAGGTAACGACAAATCCAAGTTCAGGTAAGTGAGATTTATTTTAACATTTACACGGTTATTCTCAAGTTTTGACAACTACACTGAAATTCTCATAATTTTTCGTAATATGCAAAACAGCATCAAAACATGCTGTAATTTATGTACCGAGCTTGGGCTGCCTGTGAATTGTCTATATGGCCTGTATTGGTTACCAACAAGAGGGCATTGTTACCGCCTAAACATCGCCAAACATTCCTTGGTCTATTTCAATGACAAACGAAAGTCAAATCTTAAAGTTAAAATGTCAAATATGGCCTTTCACTGCTTTGTGTGGGCGCTAGAGAGGTAAAAGTTGGGGTGGCAGGAGGGGGCGGGGAGTTAAAACTCTTCTTTTAGCTGGAACGACGACACTTTCTACTTCAGTACTGTACTAAAATCTCAAAGCAGTTTAAGCTTTGATTCATCTTTTTGTCGTTCCTCGCCCACCTTGCCAACAGTCTCCTTTCGTCGTCTTGATTGAGGAGGAGAAAAGAAGGCTGTGCCTGAATGGCGTCAACAGTCAAGCCTTTGAAGTCGCCGAAGCCAGAAACTCTGGACTAGTCAGTCCTGTTCTCTGTCGTCAAACTGGTTTTCCGAATGCGACGACCCTTTATTGATAAACCGATGGTCATAACTGAGCCCGCAATACCGGGCGCATAGCTTTTAGACCTGGGTTCAACACGAGAAACAAATACTAAGTAATCTATCTGTAAGCATCAACAACCGCGGATAAAAGCGCAAAGAGACTAAATTTTACTAGATCTTGTATTTTGAAAAATGAAAATATAGGAATCAGTTTGTCTGCTGACCAATTAAGTACGTCGACTAAGGAAGACACTCGCAGGTTTCAGGAGGGCATCGAAAGGCACACGAAAACACACTTTGTTTGCCAAGCGAAGAACCTGAGACCTCTTATATTTAAAAAAATATGAAAATAAAGTCATTTTTCTCACCCCTGCGGGCTTCAATTCTAAAAACACTGAGTCGTGTGGAGCGGGAGTCTGCTCTGCTGGGAGGTGTTTTAAGAAATAATGGAGCAATATTTAAGGAAAACATGTTTTATTTGGGGGCAGTTAGGAAGAGTCTTTCCAGTTTATCTTTATCAATTGGCATGAACATGTTGATACTGGGAAGAAGCTGAAAAAAATTCACGGCCCAAATTCTGACAGAACCGTCGAGAAATTACGCATACGACACAGTATTATTGTAGTCGACACGACAATATAAAATTCGCCCGACATTCTTGTGTTGAGAACACCTCTCATTGTCAGGTATTTATGTAACTGCGATTTCAAAGAAGTCTCTGAAAAGGGAAGTCGTTTTCGTTGGACAACTGCGACGCAAATAAATAATTAATTCAAGTGCACTCTACAATGGTTTACGGATCACAGATCCCCACGTAAACCTCAGCATTTAGCTAATGACATTTTAAATGGACAAAGTTACTGTCAACCATAAACAGCAGTTTTTCCGGCGTTGTTTTGTGTCGGCTTTTTAAAAGTTGGTTTAGTTCCTTGCACGCGAAGAACAGTCATCCGGTGAACGTGGATTTAATTACGAAACTCACAGGAAACAATAAAAAACTGATTAGCAGCTCTGACAATCTTGGACGGAAAATTTCAATCCCCGTTCCCTAACCACAAATTAAGGATGGGAAAATTTTGAACTTCGCGTGGTTCCCGCATCTCACGCTTGAGGGACGGAAGTAAAGGTCGGGAGTTTGCTTTTCAATTCTTTTCTGTTCAAGATTGTACTGAGCTCCTGACGCCACATGGCCAACTTCATTTAATATAGTTTGAGTGTACGTCCACATGTTGCTGAGGCGCTGTCTACAAGACCTAGTTGGTCAACTTAACGGAATAGCTGTGTTTGTTCATTCTTTAAGACTGTCTGTATCTGTAAAAGTTAATAAACAAAAAAAGACTTCTGATTAAAGATTTGTGAACTAGGCCGTTCGCTTACAGCTCATATGAAGCACAATTCCGGTTTCTAATGAAACATTGATGGTTTCCTTACATCAAAACAGTCAAAATGAGTAAATTATCCTGAAAAAATTATATCAGTTATTACGGGGTAAAGTTAGGAAAGGAAAGGTCTGAAAGTTATCTGTACGTCAGTGAGTGTAGGCATTTTATTGAATAACGGTACACTGTACAGCTCTCTTTTTTGTGTGCTTTTGTCTTGCTTGAGCGGGCTGGTAGTAGGGCTAAAAAAGTAAACATTCAAGCTACATCTTTATAAAAGTTTGTCCTAAAGAGTAACATGTCGTAAAAGCCCTGATGAATCGTCGCCACTTCTTTTTTATCGCTGAGTAGTATGTTATTTTAAGGCAAGCCGCGAGTATTCGAACCATTGTAGCTCATTGTGATTATTTCAGCTGTAAGATGCGTCGCCGTTGATTTGAGGGCATTTTTATTGCTTGGTTCAGTTCATCTGTGCTGTTTTCATCACGAACACGATGACGCCATAACAGGCTAACTTGACATGTTCAAACTTTTCTTGGTCACTCAAATTGGTGTGAGGATGTGTTCGCTTGACCAAGAAAAGCTGACAATGGCAAGCGAATAATGTTTCTAAATGGCATTCAATAAATTCGCGACCTAAACAAAAATACACCAAGTACAAGTAAAAGATCAAAACAGGAAAAAACCTCTGTGGACAAAATCAAGACTACCCTTGACCCACTTAATGAAACAAAAACGACAGATATCATATTAAAAATAACTTTTAAAATACTTCACAACAATATTTAGAGGAAGAGAATGTCCATGGCTGAGTGTTCATTTTTTTTTTCTTGAAAGTAAAACAATCAAAGCTATTTGGATATGTATGATGTATTTCGTGCTTATTGAATATTCACAATGCCTTTGATGCATTCTAAGACCATCTGTTGGACAACCCAGGAGTTTCTTGGACGAGCGATAACACTAGAAATATCATGCGCAGTTTATTAGTTACCGACGCCGGTAATAAATGGTTTACTGACATAAAAAATTGATACCAGACCGTTAAGCAGTTTAATGTACGAAGGAAGTTTAGATTCCGCTACTCAATGAAGTTGTTTGACAGGGTTTAAGTCGTGTTGGAATTACAGCAGGAATGGGAAAAAAATGATACAAAGCCAGTAATTATTTCCGATGACGCGGCAATGTGTATCGCCGCGGGCTTGAGATAAAATTTAATGAATTCGAAGTTCTACATGTTAAAATGATCACATTTTAATACTGCCTAAACGGAACTTCTTTTGATGGTCAAAAACTTGCAAAAGTTTAACATATATATTTCTACTAATCAATGTTCTGGACTGTTAAAACTACTCCAATATCCTCTGAACTGAGACCCTCTTTTTAGCACCGAGATTCAAGTTGTTATAAGCCCAGAACTTCATGAGAGTTAAGTTCCTGTTCAGTGTAGTTTCTAATTTCTGTTTGTCGGCGTTGCGATTTTCATCCGCTGGGTGAACGAGTCGCGTCAAGTCCATCTAAAAAAACCCTGTTCGGTCAGCTCTTTTTAGCCCTTGCTCATAGTGATCATGACTCGCCGTAAGACGTGTATGCCGTTACAGTGAAAAAAAAGCACTGGTATTGCAGAATATTAACCCTAGCTCTAGTGCTTTACCCAGTTCCTCACTGGGGTCATTGTAAACAGCCCTTACACCTGCCCGTTAGCCATTTATCAATTGATTTTGCTGATTACACTAACGTGAACACGTCTTTTGATGGTTATTCTAGTCAGGGTCGTTAGTTATTCGGCTTTGAAATGGCCCTTCTTAAATTTAGACTGAAGGCTTTGTGGTCATTGAATTCTCATTTTCCCGTATGTGAAAATGGCCGCGTTCGAACAGTTCAACTGGTTGTACTTGCTATTTGCTTCACTTGTAAACAAGCAAACGTGGGAACAGGGAAACGGCTGAGTGGGGATTAGGAAATGAGGGAACGTTATTTTCGGAGAATGTG